GTAATACAACGACTACTACCGACTACGATTATACGATGTGAGTGTAGCGTGCGTTGCAGTCAGCTTCTTTAAGACGCCTTTACATGGGAACATGAAGCAGAGAAAAATTAAAGGTGTCTTTTCATGCTAATGCTCGACCACAGATTTCTATTATAAAAGTACTTTTTTTGGGGATCAGTTGACGCGTGTCAAGACAATTTTATGACGTTATGTTAGTTTCAGCGTTGACGCTCAGAAGTTCAGATTTTTCAACTTCTAAGTGTCGCGCGCGAAAGAACTGTTTTTTTAAAAGAAGCGAAATATTGGGTCATCTAAAAAGTATCCGCGGTACTTTGTCACTAGATATATGACCATCATCACACATCTAGTGACAAAAAACCGCGGATACTTTTTAGATGACCCAATATATTCATTAGATGTCCCAGCAAACGAGAATGGATTGAAATGAATTGAAATGGATTTACATTTTTAGAAATATTGATTCACGAATGTTAAAATGAATACTTTTCAATTTTGAATGCATTTTTATTCATTTGTAGGAATTGCATGGAGCATATCTCTATGCCTTCCAATCTAAAATAATATTAGGTTCTGTGCACACAAACATAATTGTGAATACTCAATTTAAAATTTTGAATAGGAAATGCAGTTTTCAATCCAATTACATCCAACTGAATCTAATTGAATCCAATTGAATCCAATTAAATCCAAAAAAAGGATTCGCTATTTAAAATACGCATCCGGATAGAAAAAAATTTCAATCCATTTTAATCCATTCTCGTTTGCTGGGCGATTCCGTGTACAATTATGGATTAAAAGGTTGTAACTCTTTTTTTTAATGAATTTTAGGATACAGCCTACTCATCGAGCGATTAATTTTTATTTGTCGATCCATGAATAAGAGCCAATTATTCAGTGAGCAAGCTGCGTTCCAAAATCCATTGAAAAGAAAGTGTTGCAACCTTTTTGTCCCTGCTTTAATAACACGAAGTCAACTCTAAGTCAATTCTAAGTCAACTCGACTATAGCTTCTGGTCCACAGCAGAAGATTGAAGCAATATTGTTGCAATGTTGCAATATTGCAGATTGCAATGTAATATTGCAGAGATACAGGGTCCGGCAAAATCTCCCACATTTTAATCTTTAATAAAAACACCATTGTAAATGCTATTTAGATTTTATTTTTATTAACTGAAAATTTATGCTATGCCATTTGTTTTTATTGAGTTTTGAAAATTACAGAGTCCAAGTGGCGACCATTTTTTTCGATACACATTCGAAGCTGATTTCTAAAAGTTTCCATCACTCGAGCAATAATTTGAGGCGATATTCCTGTAATTTCTTGGCGTATTGCTGCTTTCAATTCGTCAATGGTTCGGGGGTGGTATGCTCTGCGATTTTCCCAGTCCCGTTCACTAAGTTCTTGCACGATCATCATTTTGTATGGGTGGAACTTCAGATCGGCGTGTAAAATTCTTCTCACAGAACGATCTGACAAACGCAAAGCAGAGGCATGTTTAACAGCTGAACGGCTAGGAGATCGTTCAACTGCTTCTCTTACAGCTGCAACATTTTCAGGTGTCCGAACACTTCTGGGTCTACCAGTTGATTTTCTTTTTAAAGCTGAACCTGTAACTCTAAAATTTGAAACCCACAACAGTATTGTTTTGCGATCTGGAACTGGAGCATGTCTACCAAGCGCGAAGTGAGTACGAAAAGTTCTTTGCGTCGTAATCACAGATTCGTTACTTTTCATAAATATTTCGATAACAAAGGCACGATGCTCGCCCGTCCAATTCATGACGACAACTGAAATGACAAGGCGCGAGCTACCAACCGACTACGCTAAGCTCCCCCTCTCTTCAGTGGTTCGGGGACAGTGGCGGTGCAAAATGTGGGAGATCATTTTGCCGGACCCTGTATTACAGATATGTAAATTAACAATATGCCTGCAAAATGTCAATAATATTAGGTGTTGGAATTAATTCGTAGCGTTTTACAAGTGATGGGAAGTACTTTCATTAATGTATTTTTTAATGCTTATGTGAAATAAATAACATTCTTTCATTAAAAACGCTACGAATTAATTCCAACACCTAATATGTTCGTAATACATTCCACAAATATTGCAAAATTATAATTCTTTAATTGTTACAATAATAATAATATAAAAATATAAGTTTTTACAATATTTATGTAGTACAGTCTTTTAGTTTAACAGTTTCGTTTTTATGATATAATATTAATTAATATAATTTATTTTATATTTAAATAAAAAATTTATTGATCTATTTGACAGTCATTTCATTAGCTAAATTTTATATTTATTTTAAATATGAAATCAAAAGATTGAATAATATCAAGCTTACAATCAATGCATCATTAATGGATAAAACGATAAGCAATTAAGCTGCTGAAAACGATTTATCGAAATTATATGATCGATTATATTAATTATATGATCGATGATTTATGCCTGATGTAAATAAACCAGCGCTTGAACTTTATTGATAAATTTGATATTGTCATTTTTTAATCAATTTCAATTGACTCGAAGTGGTTTCGAATTAAAAAGAATCACCGCGATTTACTTAATCCATGATTAACTTACCAAGCGATTGTACCCCCACAGCACAAAGTTGCACAAAGTCGCACAAAGTCGCACAAAGTTACAGCAACACTGCTGCAATATTGTTGCAACGTTACATATTGCAGCAATATTGCAGAGATTTTGCAGTAATATTACTGCAAATTTTGTGCTGTATTATTATATTATTATATTAATGTGGATAATATTTGTAGTTTGTTCGGGGTACACACATACATGTTTTATCCTACGAATAAATTTATCCTTCAGAATTAATATTATATTTATTGGAATATTTTATCATAAAAAATTGCTTTTGAAAAGCACATATCACTAGAAATGCGATTTGCAGAAAAATTAAAGTTAGTGATATAGAAATATATGTATAGAAATAATTTTTATTTTAGAGTCTTCGTAAAAAATTTATTCAACTACATTACATTGCAATATTGCTGGAACGTTTTGTTGCAATATAACAAATAGCGGACATCTTAATATTGTTGGAATTTTGCAACAGTGATTCAGCAACGTTTTGCAACTACCATGCAATATTGCAATGTTTCAGTGAAATCATTCTGCAATGTTTCTCCAATCTTTCTGTGCTGTATGGGAGACGTCTGAAAAATGGACGTCCGTAAGTCGATTTTAGATGACTTGGAGATGTCTCTAAGTCATACAATGTCCCACTTTAAAGACGACTATAAGCCGACTTTAAGTCAACTATTCTAGGCTGTGGTCCGATTCATGCCCACAATGTGAGCATGAACAGCATTCATCCTTGTTTAACTATAGTTAAACAACAAGAACGAAATGATTCAGCATTTAAGTTTTGTGAGCGTAAATCACATTAGACGTTCTAAAGTCGATATTGGAATGACGTCTGTGTAAGTCGACTTACAGTCGATTCTAAAGGCCTGACTTAACAAAGTCAACTTAGTCGACATATCGACGTTTGTGCTGTTAGGGTGGGGATCGATTCTGTATCTTGAAACGAGGTGAAAATTACAAGTGAGTGAATTTACTAGAATACTAATAATTTCATTGGTCAGCATCTAGTAAATTTGCTCATTTTTGTAATTTTTACCTTGTTTGAAGATACAGAATCGACTTCCTAATCATACAGGGGATGGTACACTTAAGGCACCTTTTTATGCGGACGTTCGACGCTCATTTTCAGCGTCAAAATACATCACGCGATCAAAATTAACGCTTGATATTCGTCAATTTCTATCACGTGACTTATTTTGACGCCGAAAATGAGCGTCGAGCGTCGGCATGAAAAGGCACTTTTATTATAAAAACATTAGCTAGGCTATGTTCCAAAATTTCCTCTTCGAGAAAAATTTTACTCGAAATGTGTAATACACGTAACGTATAATATAGCTTATAAAGTAAAATCTTCCTCGGAGAGGAAGTTTTGGAATGTAGCCTAGAAAGCGAGCGTTTCAGCATCGCATGAAAAGGCACCCATAGAATCTCTAGGTTGGATTAGAGAGCCTATAATCAGAATGGCGCCATACGAGAGATAACGTCAATTTTAGCGAAATTCTGCGAGAGAGAAAGAGCTATATGGTCTCAGTCTATTGAACAGACTGTCAGTTTTAGAGTTAGGTGCAATAGCATTGAATGACATAGATACGTAAATACATTGATAAAAATAAAATTATCGAAATTATTTTAGAAATATGGTTGGATGTACAATATCATTTTGTAATAATTCATTAAAAAAAGAATATGTTATGAAAATAATTCCGAAAGACACAGAACGCCGAATGAATTGGTTAAAGAGTATAAATGGCAAATATAAAAATTGGAAACCGTAAAAAAATTCATCTGTATGTGAGGTAACAATTATATATCATTGCATTGTGAGTCTAAATCAAATAATATGATAATTACGATATTTAATATATAATATTTTATGAAATGGTATATACATATATAATATTTTTCTGAATTTTTGATTTCTTTTATATTATTACAGGTGCTCCTAAAATGTAGGAACAGAGAATGAATAATAAACTAGCGCATTTAATAGCGCAAATAATGTGCAATAAATAACGTTTTGTATAAAGTAGTGTGCAATATTACAAAATGTACAATATTGCAATAGTACAAAATAAATGAAATTTTATAATAAAGAATATATGTAAAAGTTTTATTATTTTATATACAATATTTATTTATTATCATTTTTTAATTTGTCACAATTTTTGAGCATTTTTTAGCATGAATTCTAAATTTAGAAAATAATACGTTTAAAAAACTGGAGGGAATGGCTAAAACATGGCGGACAATCACCAGTGATACCCGTATGACGTCACTCTGATTGTAGGCTCTCTAGGTTGGATGAGTTGAAATGCAAATAGCGTTACCCATCTATGGTTTGGTTATTATTTTTCCATTCAATGACGTAGAGTTGCCATATTTTTTCTGCGGATGCCTGCTAGGGGGGTCAATCGAATTGTTGGTGTTCGGAGATGGCTGTACAAGATGGTTTATGATAACCAAATGGTGCGCGTAATGAACGATTGAAGAAGAGATCGAAAACAGGGCGCGTCATTTCGGCAGGTACATACTCGTATCGATGTAACGATCGCTTGGAAGAGCATTCCGACAAGAGATAAGCCTTTCGCTTGAAACAGCTTCTTGTGCGATGAAGGAAAACTTTACGTCACGAGTTTATTCGCGAATGGCACTGTGGTTGTGTGTGTCCGTGACGAGGTTATAAACCTGAAATTCAGGACGATACGCGACAAGGAATTTTGTGTCCGTAAACGTTTGACGACAGCGTTGTATCGCGTTGCGCATTTCGTTCATCTTACGTTTCGCGTCTTCCTTTATTACGGTTTTCTTACAATCCACATTCCATTCGTGAATGCAGTGTCCATCTCGATACACTATTTTTACCCCTGTACTTTTTTATTCAGACGTGTTTCTCTTGTTGCACGTTTTCGCCGAATATTTCATCTATCTTTGTAGCAGTTACGTAATTTTCAATGTGAATGATCCAGATACATATGATCGAAAGTGAAATTAATGAAACTGAAATTTCGCGCTTTTAAGCGTATCAGTAGATTTGTTAAACGACAAAGGTAAAGAGGATGAAAGGAAAAATTCATTTTATTTCATTTTTTTTTATGTATTGATTGATTGATTTCTTTGAAACTTTACCATTTCTTCCAAAAACTCAATATTATTAAACTAGGATTATTAAACTAGAATTATTTTTCAAATTATTTAGATGATGGAACATCTTCACGAAGGAAAGAATTTACACTTTTAAATTTACATTTATCTATTTGTTCTTAGCTGTTTTTATTTTCCATTCCTTTCTACATGTTTATTTATGTATGTGTTTTTTTTTCAATACTTTTAATTATCTCTTTATCTTACTCCTTTTTTTTCTTCATAATTTTAGATTTATGACAAAATGCAGCTGAATTGCATAAAAATGAGAAATAGATTTGCTTTCTGTGCATTTATCTCGGAAAAATGTTAAAACCTTATAATTAAAGTATATCACATGTATGTCTGAAATTTGTATATAAGAGATTGTTATATTGTACAACTGTAAATATATGAACCTTTGAAGAAATTATTTGTATTACAGAAATTTTAGCAAAACATAATGTCGTATAAGGAGATAAAGACGAGTAACAATGGAAATGTCATCTGTAGATTGTGGTAAAAAACAGCATTATCTACAAGGCGACATGTCAGATTCGTCACGATATCTTTATGGCCATCTTCCTCCTGACATTATGCTGAAAGGACTTTCCAACAATGGTAACGATGCAACATTTTATATATATATATATATATAATATATATGAGGATTATATATATATATATACATTTTTTTATTAACTAATTTATACTGTCTTTATACATATGTAAAAATGTTCTTTTTAGGCATAGGAGGAAAATTATGCCAACTCGAAGGCCTGTTTATCGGTGATTCTGCTCAAAGTGGACGAGCCGGTCATATCGTTTCAATTGAGACACTTATCGATGTTTTGCTTGTGCTATACGATGAATGCTGTAATTCTTCGTTACGCCGTGAAAAGACTGTTTCCGATTTTATTGAGTTTGGTAAGGGAGTTTGTTTCTTTTAAATCTTGGCGAGATAACTTTATTTTTATTCTTAAACTTTGTCTATATTTGGCTACCGTATATACATACATATATTGATCACGTCATTGGTTCTTTGCAGTAAAACCAATAACTTCATGCATCAAAAACTTACAATTGACACGAGAGGACTTTGAAATCGTCAAAGTAATTGGTAGAGGTGCTTTTGGGGAAGTATGCGTTGTAAGAATGCGCGGCTCGGACAAGGTATTTGCTATGAAAATTTTGAACAAATGGGAAATGTTAAAACGTGCTGAAACGGCGTGCTTTAGAGAAGAAAGGGATGTATTAGTGTATGGTGATCGCAGATGGATCACGAATCTGCATTATGCCTTTCAAGATGACAATAACTTGGTAATATCACTTAACGTTGCACAATTTTTATGTTTGTAAAAAGTATTGACCAGCCTTTGTGTTACTAATTGCTGTGACTGATTGTATTACTTTGTATTGTGTTATCACAGTATCTGGTCATGGATTACTACTGCGGTGGAGATTTATTAACGTTACTGAGCAAATTCGAGGATCGCTTACCCGAGGATATGGCTCGATTTTACATAGCAGAGATGGTGCTAGCTATAGGTTCTATACATGACTTACGCTATGTACATCGTGACATAAAACCCGATAATGTTTTATTGGATGCGAATGGTCATATCAGGTTAGCTGACTTCGGTTCTTGTTTACGACTGTTCGAGGATGGTACGGTGCAAAGTAACGTCGCTGTTGGTACACCGGACTACATTTCACCAGAGATATTGAGGGTAATACATTATTCTGCAGGATAGAGATATGTTACTTTCACCTTTCTCGCTCATTGCGTTCGCATGTGTGATGTTGTGTACTTTATCATATTTGCATTATCTTTTATATTTTATTACTACTGTTAGGCAATGGAGGATGGTCAAGGACAATATGGTCCTGAATGCGATTGGTGGTCTCTTGGAGTGTGTATGTACGAAATGCTCTATGGTGAAACACCTTTTTACGCAGAATCTCTAGTCGAGACTTATGGAAAAATTATGAATCACAAGGTAAAACTTTAAAATTCCTATAGATATTTTTTTTCATTAAAACAACATATCATTGCTTAATAATTGGAATTAACATTTCCTTTTCGTAGAATTGTTTTGATTTTCCTATGGACGCTATGTATGATGTTTCTGAAGAAGCCAAAGATCTGATGCGGAAATTGATTTGCAGCTCTGAATTTAGACTAGGTCAAAACGGAATTGATGACTTCAAGGTAGTTTTTTGTTGTAGTAATCATGATGGCATATTTTAAGATTTTATCTATATGTTATTTTTATTAAAAATGCAGAAACATCCGTGGTTCGACGGAGTCGATTGGGATACGCTGAGAGATAGCACCGCGCCATACATTCCTGAAGTTTCATCACCTAGTGACACGTCCAACTTTGACGTTGATGATACTGATGTTCGCACTTCTGATGCTGTTCCACCAGCCGCGAATTCTGCCTTTTCTGCGCTTCATTTACCATTTGTTGGTTTTAGTTTCACGCAAGGAAGGTATGTAACGTGTCCTTTCTTTTTGTTCTAATATTTGTGCTATATACGTAACCATATGCGGTGACGTGACGCTCACGAATATTAACGTTCCATTATTTCCTTGATTGTCACGTTATAAAAAGATGTAAACGTCATGACCCGAGTAACAATTAATATCGATAGAGATAAATAAAGCAGATGTAATACTGCAAGAAATATCGTTAATTTGTATCTGAAATTTCTGTCATTTTGTAAAAATTATCGCAATATAGCCATCTCTTATGAAAGGAAATATTAGCTTTCTCATATATTTTTCCGTCACTGATCTCGCTAATCAGTTTGATCGAGGATTGATAGCGGATATATTTGCTTGGTACAAATATCAATATGAAACTAATCTCGGAAGCAGATAAAAGTATTGCTTTTTACATAGTGATAGTATCGTCGGCAGTTGAAACGCCCCTCACAAGGCATCATTCATGTTGTACTTTTATTGAGCAAAACTGATCGCCGTATTTACGAAACACCATAGGACCGACTAAATGAATCGAGTCGGTTGTTGCGAATAGCGTGTTACTGTACACCGAATTTGTCGATTTTTATCAGTAATATGCTTTATTTGCTTTATCTTCAGTTTTTAATATTACAGTTGTATATCGGATCTGGGTTGTATTTCTGCTCTATCTCAGACAGACAAACGTATACAGATACTCGAAGAAGAAAATACACGATTGGTACAAACTATTGACGATATGAAAAATCATTCGAGTATAAGTCATTCTTCGCCTGGTATCTCGCCAGATTCTAATAATGCGACCAGAAAACTTCAAGATGAAATAAACACGCTCACAAAACGCAATTGTGGTAAAATTATAAGTTTAAATTTCCATAATATGTATGTGTTTGTGTTACAACATTGACGTAACATCTGCTTGTTCTATATAGAATTGGAGTCGCAGTTGAAATCTATGGATATTCCTCGCGAATTACGAACTTTAGATAATGGTGACATGATGAAATATCGGGAACTTGAGAAATTAGTTCGATGTCTACGTTCAGAGAAAGAAGAAGCTATCAAGGATAAGTTGGATGCGCAGGAGAAATTAAAACTTCAAGACAAAGAGTTGAAGGATGCTCTCACTCAACGTAAGCTCGCGATGACGGAATATACGGAAGTATCGGATAAATTATCCGAACTGCGGCAACAGAAGCAAAAATTATCGAGACAAGTTCGTGACAAAGAGGAAGAGTTAGAAGTTGCGATGCAGAAGGTCGATACTTTACGTCATGACATTCGGAAAGCTGAGAAACTGCGTAGAGAGTTGGAGAATAGAATCGATGAAGCGATGGCAGAGACGAGCAAAGAAAGGAAATTAAGAGAACGCAGCGAGGAATATTGCAAACAGATGCAAGAAGAGATGGAGAAGATTAGACAACGTTCTCTTGGAAATGACGCTAGTGCGAATCACGCTTTGGCTACTCAAGAAATTAACAGATTAAAAGCGGAAGTTGAAAAGCTTGAGGTTCAGTATAACGAAAACTTGACTCAACAACAAAGTAGATTTAACCTTGAAATTCGAAGTTTGCAAGAACAATTGCACGAAGCGGAAACTAGAAGAGAACTGTTGGAAAGAGAAGTGCAACTCACCAAGGAGAAATTGGATGCTGCAAGATTGGAAAATATCACCGATAGCGAAGAAACTATAAACGAGTTAAATAGGCGTCATGAGAGGGAAAGGATTATATTAGTTGAAGAAAATAAGAAGCTTGTGTTAGAACTCGGTGCCCTCACCGATAGCGTTAATAGATTACAGGGTGAAAGAAGACAATTGGAGGACGAATACGAAGAATTGAGGAATAAGAAAGAAGCTATAGCGCAGTGGGAAGCTCAAATTACCGAAATTATTCAGTGGGTATCAGATGAAAAAGATGCTCGTGGATATTTGCAGGTACATTTGCGCTTTGATTATTTCATCCTTGAATGTCTATCGTCGAGATATGGCGACGTTTAGATTGAACAAATTTTTTATTAATTACTTAGCCTCTGTTCACAAAAGGAAATTATTATCTATTCTGATCTCAGGCCTTGGCTACAAAAATGACGGAAGAATTGGAATTCCTGAAACACTCTGGTGGAGTTGGTGGTATTGGAAGTGGAACTACAATGACAGATAAAAATTGGCGAAATCGTCGATCGCAGAAGCTCGATAAGATGGAACTTTTGAATTTGCAGAGCTCCTTACAAAGTGAAATACAAGCGAAACAAGCAATTTCAGAGGAACTCACCAAAACTCGTTCGGATTTGATAGCTGCACAAAAGTAATTTTCACTGAAGTATTGACGAAAAATAATATTGCACCAGTTGCAAACAAAAAAAAAACGATAAATGCTTTGGCACATAAGAAAACGTAAGGCAGTAAAATGTAAGCAGTAAGCTAATCGGCCAATCACAGTAGAGGCAATAAACGAAAGTATTATAGTAAATTCAAAATATTGATTTGCTTACGTCTTACTGCTCAAGTTTTTTGTGTGCCATATTCTTAACAGTATTTGAATATTTTTATTCTCGTCCTTTTCGTTCTTTCTTTATTTTAGGGAATTGAGAGATTTCAAGCAGCGATTAGATACCATGTCGCATGAATTAAAACGAAAAGATATGCAAGTAAAAGAGTTGCAAGCGCGTCTCGATACCGGGGATGGCTGTAAGTACACTTCAATTGACAATGTGGAAAGCGAGAAATGCACAAAAGTCCGTTCGTTATATCGCTGGAAATATTGCGTCTACACTTGTTCTGCAAGTCGTAGCTATATACGTTATTTGATTTGTAGATGTGATCTTTATACAAATGTTGAACGTGTTTTAAATTCTAGTCTCATTATGAAAATGATACTGATAATTGTGTGAGTGTATGTGCATGCGTGCGTGCGTGCGTGTAGATACGCGCGCGCGTACGCGCATACTATATATCGAATATTTATAGGCTGAGGCTATCCTAATCTCAATGAAATTTATTTATAAATATACTTGCACTTTCAATGGCAGCTTTTGCATGCGTATCGAATCAATGTAGTTTTGTGGGAATATTATAGATCGATATAAATTGTTTTTTCTTGTTTTGTATGCAGTATTATTTATTTGTCAGGTAATACGATTATATTAGGTGTAGTAAAAAGAAATCCATTATTTTCCCAATAGATGGCTTTAGTAATCTGTATCACGCGTAGACGAGATACAGATTACTAAAGCCATCTATTGGAAAAATAATGGATTTCTTTTTACTACACCTAATACTTGCGCTGTAATATTTGACCACATAATGGATGCTTTTCATTTGATGACATAATTCGACACAAGTGTCATTCTATATTTGTTATTTCACTGAATGTCAAGAAAGATAAAATGATGTTTGTGTCGACTTGTATTACTAAATGGAAAGCATCTAGTGATGATAATTTATGATTATGGATAATGATGAAATTCGTTACCATACATTCAGTAAATGTACACTGAAAAAGAATTTTCAACTAACTAATGAGCCTCTGAGATAATATAAAATTTAAAATATTACATATATACGCAATTTTTTTAGAGCAGTGCTGGGATTTACTTGCACATTTCAGCTTGGTTTCTGCCCCTTACTTCATCAACCCGCAGTCTAAATGCCGGCTGAAAATATGCAAGTGAGCTCTAGAGAACGATGCTGTTTTGTAATTTGAAAGAGTACTTTGTACCTTGTTCAATGAAAGTGATGATAGCACTATAATCTCTATAGAATTTTATTCTTAGCTAGAATAAAATGATAGAAACTAATCTTATGAAAATATTATCGAAAAATTGATTATATATCAATGATGTCTTTTCTCAATAATTATTTTCATTCTTTATTCGTAAAATTGTGGATAAGATTGAGGGCATACTTGATAGTTTCTTCTTTTAGATATTGTCTCTGTAATATTGTTGATTCATACTGCACATTTATTTATTTTACTACACTTGTCTGTGTATTACAACTCAATCATCTATCTATTTATCAATATTTTTGGATTTGTTGATTTCCGAACGTCACATTAAAATTCGTACACTGTTTCTTCCTAAACAAAATATACTCCATGCAATGTGTTCTATCAGTTTCTTCTGAATGTTAGCAAAGGAAGAGAGATGTCATAAGTGGTCGGTTGTTTAAATTGCCGTTAATTCTTTTTAAAATATATCTTTCGGTCATCACTTGATTTGGAAATGTTACCAGACACAATTACCTTAGTAGTTTCGATTCGAGCTAAAGTATCTTGACCCATCTCTATTTTCATTGCGCATATAAAATTAAAATTATGTCATCAGCGAAATTATTATATATATTTACGATATAAAAATTATTTTAGCATGTGTCGTACATATACATATGTAATATATTACATATGTATATCTGAGACATTTGTAGGAGATGGTTTTTTTCATTCGTCTCACTAATACCTTTGTCGTAACATACATTATGTTGATTTATTTGAGAAATATATAGATAAAAAAGAAAAGATCGATAATTGGTATAAATGGAGGAAATCTTACTTAATCTCATATGAAAAGATAAATTAATTATATGTATATATATATATATATATATATTTTTTTTTTTACTGTTACATGAAATATACATATAAAAAATACTTTATCTTAGTCATTGCGATTGTTATTTAATGTAACAATCTAATTTGTCGGTGTAACATGTTATTTGAATGTCTGTAAACTGGGGAAAATTGTTTCTTTATCTAGAAAGCGCGAGAAAGGTTTATCGTTTGAGATTTTGTGTTAAATTTGTTTATGTATATTAATATATAAAGTACAAATTATAGAGATCGTAATTACTGGGATCTATGTAGCATAGTAACTCGATTCTCCAGTACGGTATGCGATTCTGATTTCTAGACTACAAAGTGCCTCTGTTTATTGGCGTAACGAGCTGCGTGTGGGGCCTCTTGTTGCTCATCTTCAAACTATATTTGTGACAGCTGTCTCATCCAGCGATACAACAAGCAAACCTCCAAACATCGTTAGCACCAAACCCCAACGTATCATCGTACATCAGCCGTCGTCACCCCTACCAGTAATGCGTGCCCCCCGCATCACGACTTGTCGCTTATTAACTAGATTCGTTCCAGTCAACACGTTCATCAGTCAGAATGCCGTCACCATCGTATCGCCGCCTGGTAAATGATGTGGCAGCAAAAAAGTGACTTTGGATTGGACATGCTAATTATACAATACAGCGCTATGTTTCTTTTTTATTACTCCACTTCTTCTATTTCTTGTATTTTCTCGAGAAAAATTTGATAGGAACAAAACATAGCACTGTGTTGTTTTTGAAACTTATCAAAAACTAAGCAGATGTTGATGTGTGACGTCCGATATCCTTGTTCAAGTTGCAATGGTGTTAATGGATTTTGTAAATGTTGCATTCTTTTATAAGCTGTATAGTTAGCTTTATTCATGATGGAAGAAGACAGGTGAGACAACACGCATAAAGGCAATTTAGAGCAATCAGCTAGCCAATCAAATTTGGGTCCTAAATTTTGATCGTACCATACATCCCTCAAGTTGTCACATAACAGTCAATCAAACTGAATCAAATTTGCTAAATTCCTATTGCGCTCTCAAGCTGTCTCACCTATCTTCTTCCACCATAGCTTTACTATTCGATCAATTGATTGAGCATTTTTTTTATATTCAGTGGATTAACAGATATGCGCGTTGTGTGAATTATTTCTTTTTATATATACCAGTAGAAACCAATTGAATTGAAACTCTTGTAACGTTTCAAGCTACTTTTTCTCGTGCGTATTCTAGCTTGCAATAGTTATATTTGTCATAATATGGAGCATAAAATATCCGCATCTTTGATATTTCTTATATGTACTTATGACACAAAGACATCAGAGAAGCACGCAATTACTACTTTTTCTTTTTTATAAAGCATGCATATTTAGCAAATGTATATATGTACTAAGAGGTTTACTATATTTTCAGGTAAAATGTTACGTGCCGTTCAAACTTTAGTACTAGAACAATAGTGTTATTTTTCTCATGTTCGCAAATATTTTACATTTTGTATATTGCCAGATATTTATACTTTTTATCATCATCGTCACGTTATTTAGTCAATCTTTTTATTAGTTCTAGAACGTCCTACATCACAGATGTCATATCTCGAGCACTTTCTTAAAGAAACTACAAGTAGTACACGTCATGGAAGTGTCGACAGTGTGGAAGGTGACATTGAGGACAATCGTGCACCTAGTATTACGAGCAGCAAAAGTAATCTGTCTGAACTTAGTATTGTAAGTATCTCAACACATATATTTTATACAGGGTGTTTCAAAATTCGCACCGCGAAGTACAAGATGTGATATTTTAGGCTAAAACGAACAACTTTTTCCTTTAACAAAATTGCGTCCGAAAAATAATTTTCTTATTTGTTAACTTCGATCTGCTTTTCTGCAAAAATTACTTGTCAGACGCAATTTTGCAAAAGGAAAAAATTTCTTTTAGCATAAAGTATCATTTTTTGTTTTCCGCGGGCGCGAATTTTGAAACACCCTGTATATTTAGAAACAAAAAAGTAAATTATAGTGTGCTTTGTGTATATATGCACGCGAAAGTATTTCACTCAGTTTTACCTTTCTTTTTTCATTTTTCTTCTATTTCTTAGGATCCAACTTCGCCATTGTCCCATGAACTTCTGAATAAGTCTTCGTCTACTCATGGTCAAATCAATTTGCAACCAAAGCCTAAATCACACCAATTTCTCGTACGAACGTTTTCCGCACCGACAAAGTGTAATCATTGCACGTCTTTAATGGTTGGTTTAACGAGGCAAGGAGTCGTATGCGAAGTGTGCGGCTTCGCGTGCCATATGCCTTGTTGCGACAAAGTACCTTCAATGTGCCCTGTACCCCATGATCAAAGTAAGTAATACCATGATTTTAAGCAGATTCATTTAAAAGATCAAATTTTGTTCAATATCTGACAAAGCTAGAGACTTCAGACTAGAGATTTCAGACATATAGCTTTTGATATGTGAATTCATCTGTTCAATCAAAGAACTTGGTTACAATTTATAATAGATATGTTAAACTGTCTTATCGTATGACTTCTGCGACTCGAGACGTGCTTGTTTCAGCTAAACGACCACTAGGGATCGATCCTACACGTGGGATAGGTACTGCGTATGAAGGATACGTCAAAGTGCCAAAAATGGGTGGTGTCAAAAAGGGTTGGGTGCGTCAATTCGTCGTAGTTTGTGATTTCAAATTATTTCTTTATGACATTTCACCAGATCGCAATGCATTGCCATCTGTATACGTTTCGCAAGTTCTGGATATGCGAGATGAAGAATTTAGCGTCAGCTCCGTTCGTGATTCCGACGTGATACACGCTACAAAGAAGGACATTCCGTGTATATTTAGGGTAAAGTTTCAATGTCTAATTTTAATCGGATCTTAGAAATCTTTTCACTGTTTGTGTCAGAGCAATGAAATAAATAACTCATTATCTTTTTTATTGTATATCGATAAATTTTATTCAGCTTAGCTTCGACAAAGTAATATATTTTGCGATTCAAGCTCACTGTTTTAATTTCCAACAATAATTTTGTTTCTTTCACTTACTATTCTTGATAATCGAAAGTATTTATGTATTCTATGATTTCTTATGAGTGCGTGTCATATTTTTAGCAATAATAACAATATACATTGTTTTTTTTACTTAGAAAGTGCGTAAATTGTCTTGTTTTTTTTTATTTAGATAACTACGTCGTTATTGGAGCCTCCTGGATTGAGAAATCATACATTAATGTTGGCAGATACGGAAAGCGAAAAAACAAAATGGGTAGTAGCTTTAAGTGAGCTTCATAGGATTTTAAAGAGAAACAATCTTCCGAACACAACGGTACATAGTTAAGAATTAGTATACGATATATTTTTTCTTTCTTGTCTTTATTTTTCATCTCCTTTTACATCTCTTTCTTTCATAGTTTAACTATTATCTATTACCAGAAAACAGAAAATAGCAAATGCTACTTTTTTTTTCTTTACGAATATAATACACCATTAATATTAATACATCGGTATATTGTGTTTGTTGCTGTAGATTTTTAGAGCGAAAGAACTATTGGACAATACCTTGGCATTCATTAAAAACGTGATGTCAGGAGCGGTTATTGATCCGGATCGTCTAGTCATTGGTACAGAGGAAGGTCTCTTCTGCTTAGATTTAGATCGTAATGGTGAGTAGACGAAGCCGTCTAATCAAGACGATTCTTTATGCCTTAGACTTACCGAGAAATATCATCATCTTTCCTTGTAGATTTAAAAGTGCGAGACCTTGTTCGCACGTACAGAAAAAAGTACAGTTAAATAAGCAATTGTACCTAACGATATGTATAGCTTGGGCGTAAATTTTAATGAATTTGTAGAAATTGCGAGAGTCGGGGAAGGAAAAAAGATATATCTTCTTGAATATGTTACGGAGGAGCAATTAATAGTGGTATTGAGCGGAAAACAACGTCATGTACGGCTGGTTCCAGTACGTGCCTTGGATGGAGATGAAGTCGAATGGATTAAAGTAGCAGAGACTAAAGGCTGCATCACATTAACAACTGGAGTAGTGCGTCGGAATCCGCTTAATTATTGCTTATGCGTTGCAATAAAAAAACAAGTAAGGCGCGCGATTAGTAACGTACAGTTAAATATAATACAATACATAACTTACAATATATATAATAATTTCAAGATGTGTATATAGCACAATGCAACTTATTTTTTGTAGAACGCATCTCAAATTATCATCTATGAGATAACACGTACGAAAACAAGGCATAAACGTATACGTGAATTAATGTTACCATGTCATGCACAAACCTTACAAATTCTCTCTGAAGGACGCTTGTGCGTTGGTTATCCATCAGGTTTTTCTATTTATAGCATTTTAGGAGATCATCATCCTATTTGTAAGTATGATACAAGACGAATATATCCCCTGTATTGCCGCTCAGTTCTATTTTACATTGTAATTATCTTTTTTTTTTTTATAAGCACCTTTATTAAACTTTCTTGTACTTATTCCAGCCTTGGTCCACGCTGAGAATACGCTCTTGGGTTTCCTCACTTATAGTGCCGTGGATGCGTTACGTTGCATAGAATTGACACGCGGTGAATTCTTATTAGTCTTCCATACATTAGCAGTATATGTTGATAATCAGGGAAGAAAGAGTCGAGATCGGGAGATAATGTATCCTGCAGTTCCTACGGCAGTTAGTAAGTACTACAACGCTTCGCTTTTCTTAGCGTTGAGACACTATCGTGTCTCCAGATAAATATCGCGAGTCACATCTATCTGATCATGCTACTCTCGTGCTAGCACGTATATTCCTAGCATTCGGTTTGATCATCGAGATGCTTCAATACGAAGCTCATTTATAGATTCATTCTCGTTGTACTTATAAATCGCGATTTCAAATTTCAGGTTATTGCGAGGGATATCTATTGGTGTATAGCGAGACTCATATTGATGTGTTTGACTGTACATCTGGAGACTGGTTACAAACGCTTAATGTGAAACGAGCCCGACCGTTGAATATCTCAGGTTCTCTTACGTCTTGTGTAATAAATGATATGCCGTATGTTATTTATCTCAGCAATCTGCATCAACGTAAGTATCATGCTTTCCACCTAAGAACCCAAAAGATGCGCGCGACACGATATACATATTTATTACATATAAAATTATGTAACAAAGAGTTGATCCCGTTTGTTTGGATTAATTGGCTATTGTTGGAGATTAATTAGTTATTATAAATACTCTATAGGAGAATTATTAAATTTAATGCCATTGGATGCGAGCGGTAGACAAATGACAAGGCCACGACGAAGATTTTCATTACGAGAAGGCAATAGAGCTGTTCGTCCTACAGATAGACGTTCGAAAATGATTTCTGCACCGACAAATTTCAATCATATTAGTCATATGGGTCCAGGAAATGGAATTCAGGTATGTAAAAAGTTTAAATTTCGTAAATGACAATTATTATCATGCGTCATTGCAAATAATACATTGTATAAAAGAATTAGATTCAAGTTTTAAAAAAACAACTTGAAAAAGTCGTTTTGACATTTGTTAATTCTAGTACATATACTATGTACATATACGTTCATTTGCGTATGTAAAATATATGTACTATTTTACATATATTTTCTTTTATTGTAGATACAACGTTTATTAGATTTGCCTACGACATTGGAAACTGCTGATCAGCAACATACGAGTCATCATGGTAGTTCTCATCTTCATAGTAGCCAGCAAAGAGTAAGTAATATGAATTACTCGTTTTTTGATGAATGAATAAATCACAACAATTTTTTCCTAATTCAATTCTAACAAGACAAACAAATACATAAGCGATTTCTCTTTCAACTTTACTTTTTTCTTTATAGCTATATGATGCTACGCTTCAAACACCGAACAAACCAGCACCATTGCCTCCCAGGCATCCCCCTTCTGACGCACGTCGCCTGAGCTCGCATATGTCAAGAAACTCTGGATATTCGCCGCATAACGGTAAATTAATAAAATAATAAAGTATATATAACACGTTAACAAAATCGTTTTTCTCATATATGCCTGTTACGAGGGCAAGTCAATAAGTTCTTAGAAAATCTGTCAGAGGGCACTCGCAGGGTCATGTCATATTATTTTTTGACAAGTAGCATCTTTCAGCTGATTACTGTCAAATTTTGAGCGGAATTCATCGTGTGGTTTCATTTCTGTAGTCGATTAAAGCGAACAACCTTTATATTTTTTGCAAAATGAAAAAAAACGAGTTTCGTGCAGTGATCAAACATCTACATATGAAAGATTTAACGCTGAAAGAAATCAAAGCCGAGTTGGATAATGTTCATAGCACATTTGCATCAGCGTTTGTGACTCTACACAATTGGGTGAATTTAAACGTGGTCGTACATCCACATGTGATGTATCTCGTTCGGGATGTCCAATTGAGGCTGCTATGCCAAAAATCATCGATAAAGTCCATGATATTTTTTGACTGATTAATGAGTGAAAGTGCGCGAGCTTGTTGAGACCACAGGTATATCACATGGCACAGTGATTCAATTTATTGATTTCAATTTTGCACGAACAATTGGGTATGAAAAAGCTATCGGCAAGATGAGTGCCGCGTTTGCTCACTGTGGACCATAAGCGCGTGTAACGATTTCAAAACAATGTTTGGAAATGTTTCAACGTAATCCAGATGAATTTCTGCATCGATTCATTACTGTGGACGAAACATGGATCCATTACTTCATACCCGAGCTGAAGGAACAGTCAAAACAATGGACTTCATCGAGTGAATCAGCTCCGAAGAAGGCAAAGACCGTGAAGTCGGCCGGAAAGGTGATGACCACAGTTTTTGGGACGCGGTATAATTCATATTGATTACCTTCCGTCGAAGCAAACGATCAATGGCGATTACTACGCAGTCTTATTGGACCGTTTCAACAACATTTTAAAGAAAAAACGTTCCCATTTGGCGAAGAAGAAAGTGCTCTTCCATCAAGACAATGCGGGTTCACCGGCATCGATGGCCAAATTCAACAAATTCCGCTATGAATTCCTCATCCAGCATATTCGCCAGATTTAACCCCCTGCGACTATTTCCTGTTTCCAAACAAGAAATAATTCCAATGAAGAAATAGTTGAGAGGAAAGAGATTCATCACCAGAGAGCAGCTCATCGCCGAAACAGAGGCTTATTTTGAAGGATTGGACAAATATTATTCGGACGGCTTGAAAAAGTTGGAGAATCGTTGGATCAAGTGTATCGAGCTGAAAGGAGACTATGTTGAGAAATAAAAATGAATCGATCAAAAAAAATGTTACTAAAAACTTATTGACTTGTCCTCATATAAACGAAATTGTATATCTGGAAATTGTATTTTTCAATTTTTGCATCGAATTTAATCAGATAAAATATATATATAGGTTCGACAACATCACGGAGAGGTCCTGCGCCACCACGACCAACTGCCACGCCTCCTTCCTTACCGCGCACTCCGGTGGACCAAATTGATTCTGAATCGTTACATTTGCGTTCACACACTCCGCTCTCTCTTGGCAGTATTGCATCTTTACATAACAAGGTAATTTATTATTTTTACACATATATGTTTCTTTGTGTATTATTTATGTTTAATTATCATTGCAATACAAAGGACCAACTTATCTATTGAATTTATCTACATGCTCGTCGTACAATTCTTAAAAATAGATAGCATATTTTGTAATTATGAAATGTATATTTATACATGTGTATTTGAACACGAGCAAAATATATATACATATACGTGCGTGTGTGCGTGTAAAATATATACTCATGTACGTAACATAAGTTTTTTATATAGGAGCATCCATCTGGTGGCAGCCCTAGACATTCTATAGCTTCGAATAATAGTTCAAATCCATCAACGCCACCGAGTCCTGCCCATGATCATGGATCGTCATCGTATGATTCATAAATTTATTTAACTTTTACGAAGATTTAGATAAACGGTATGTATCTAGTACATATTTAAGGAAAACGATCAATTTGATATATATTATACATATGCATATGTATACCTGTCGCGTCCCTATAGTATATATATATATATATATGTATATATGTTGAGCTCTTATACGTTTACTATATATTTCTTCATTCTTTATCTATTATATCTTTCCATTGTTGAAAATGCATTTTGATAATCATTGACTATGTTGATTACAATTGACTTGTCGATCGAATCCGAACTTATTAATCTTCGAAGCTCCGTTATTTCATATATAATAAATCGAAAAATTTAAGTTTAGATTCGAGCCTAACATATATAGTTATATATTTATAACGTACTTTACAGATACGCAGTACTTGTGTTTGATCTTTGAAATGAAGAATTATATTTCGCGGTATTGTCTTACCGTCGTGCAATATAATTATGCATACTTGATGTTGTATATGAGTCAAACAAGTATCGTGATTATGCGCTTTTAACAATTTTGTAATGTATACTGGCGCGCTGCGTAATTTTATATATACATATATACATAAACCGCAGCAAATTTTTTTTTGCAAAAAATGCACTAGTGCATTTCTATAATTTTCTGATTTTTAAGAGTTTATATGTAATTTATGATGCACTTTTTTTATGGAAAAGTCTATTATTAATATAATGGAAAATTATTGTAAATACTTTATACACTTAAAAAAACGAGAGAAACATTGTATCATTAAGCTCGCTTTTGCGATGCCATATCTATTTCTTTCGATAGTTGTCCTTCTTTATTTTGATAAGAATGATTTGACAATTTATATGCAACAAAATTGGAATCTCAGTCAAATTAACTAGCAATAAAATTTTAACAATTTAATGTATCTTATACATACCTTCAACTTTAGACGAAAACAGCAGCTACAAACGTATAAGTATATACTTAACTAATGTTAACCGGGAATAACTGCGTGACATTTATCACTACGAAAGGCATCTCCCTTTTTTTTCTTTCCTTTTTATCGTGCGCATATGGACGATAGCGCTCTTTCTTTCTCTCCCTCTTCTCCTCTCTCTCTCTTTCTTTCACTAGTCGATTATCTTGTACAAAATCGAGTAAAAAACAAAAAGGAAAAGATTCAAGTATTGTTTACGTTATTGCTTTCTCGCTTTCATAAGTTCACTGTGCGCGATTATCCCCGGTTTAACGAGGTAACGAATTAGACGGAGAATGAATCGATTCGATGCCTTATGATTAATCGTTTTCTATCGCGTCATACGCACTAATGTGCATGGTATTATCCGACGTGTGAATAGTAGAATGATCGTGTCACGAGCTCCCGCTGATAATAAGTAGTTGTTAAGAACGTTAAGGACGTTGCACTCATTTAGATGCGCTATAAGCATACGTGATGTCATCGTGTCGAGAATATGCGGCAGAAATACAATGTATCGTGTGTATATCGCGTGTGTACCCCAACTGGAAATAGAACAAGAGAATATTGTCTTTTGACATTCAATCTCGAATCGAAGGATAATCATCAATTAATAGAATCTTAGCGCGGATCATTAAAAATGCTAGTTAAAAATAGGGAAAAGAATTACAGCCTGTGGCAATTATTAGACGTATAACAAACTACACTTACATAAATACGTTTAAGTGCAATGTATCGAGAAATTAAGGATAACTTTAAAAATAATGAAAAAGTGACGAAATAGAAATATTATACATTGTCATTGAGTCAGGACGCTCGAAGTAGTTTTTCTCTTTTGTAAATTAATACATGCGAATTAGGTTTTAAACATGTATATTACGAAATTACGACACGCTTTCGTTACTTTTGTATGTGTAACGAGTGGGCAAAGTGCCAGTATGCAGGGCGTATGACCAAATGGAACTAATTTATTTCACGAATATATTCCTCAACTTTGTAATTAACAATTTATATCGTTATTATCAATTCTTTTATAGCTATAGTTATTTAACAAGAAACAGAAGAAGACTTAAATTATCGAAATTTCAATTATTTTAAACGCGCTATGAAACGCAAACTATGTTGTGTACGTTTTGAAATTTAAGAAAGGAGGACAATGGGTGAATTCAGAACAACTGCTCACTGAGCGCTTAGTGAGCTCTTTCATCTGATTGGTCTAGATTTTAGAATCTAATGAAATATGCCAATCAAGTGAAAGAGCTCACTGAGCGCTTAATGAGCGGTTCTGATTGCACTCAATTACATATATGTTTAAAAGATAAAAAAAAAGGAAACCGCTGTAGAAAACCATAAAATTTGGTACAAGAAGACAACTGTCTCAGGATTCTATGCCAGTAGCTTAAGTATGGTATAACATTACGATCAAGAAACTCGAACAAATTGCTGATAGTAATTTTATGTTTATTGCTATGTCTTTCTCTCTCTCTCTCTCTCTCTCTCTCTCTCTCTCTCTCTCTCTTCTATCTCTCCTATCTCTCTGTTTTTTTTCCTTTCTTCCTCTCTTCTTCTCCTCTTTTCTCTTTATCTCCAACTTAATTTTGAATTTGTGAGAAGCAAAATTAATCGAAATTAGAAAGTTGGGTGATACACAAGCACGTTGAAAATTAAATAAGAGTACGAGTAAAAAGATGGCGCGCGATTATACTCAATTATGGAACGTTTACGCGTACGGAAAAAAGAACTAGCAAAATGTTTACTATTATTTGAGGATTATAAGTGCATAAAAAATTTTTTTAGATTTTTTTATGTAGTCTTTAAGAGATTTTGTGAGAAAATGATGCATAAAAAATTACCAAGAAATAATTTACCACAGATTATAAGGAATAAAAAATTTTTTTCGTTTTGATGAAAATCATACACACAAACCAGATTTTTTAAAATTTCAACGGCATTTTCTTCATAAATGGTAATTTCATCGATTGAATTTGTGGACATTTTTAAGAAGCGTATTTTGAAAAAAGCATATTTATTTCCGTTTATATATCATAATAAAATAAAAAATTAACATTTTTAATAATTTTTATTAAAATTACTTTTTTAAAATATTTTATTCGTCATTTTCGTATAAAATTCTATAAAGATTATGTTTATAAAGTAGTTTTGTATCCTTAATCCTCAGTTAACAGTAAGCATTTTACTGGAGTGTCTCAATGTTTTTTGTCACAATCAAAGTGTTAACTCAGTAAATGTATATATTTACTGTAGTTTGTGTAGTCAGTGTATACATTTACTATACGTTAATGTATACACTTTTTTTACTAGTAAATGTACATATTTATTAAAGTTGATACTTTGACTGTGACACAAAAAGAAGGTCCTATAGTCTCTTAAACACGCTTGTATGTGTGTACGTGCGTGCGCGCGCGCGTGCGTGTATATATATATCTATATATATATATATATATATATATATATATATATATATACACATGTGTGCTTCCTAGATACACATTATGAATACAAGTTACTATTGATGGCTACAATAAACTTGATAGCCTTATTTTAAATGTGGTCAGAAGAGACATTACAATATTTTGAGATTAAGAGGATCCTAAAGCCGTCTGTATTACTGACTGAATCGTATAACAAATACTTTTTTTCTCTTTCACAGATTCGAAAATCCTTTTCCAAGATTAAAGTATACGCATTAATACGTGTTTGTGAGGTGGAGTTTATTGACAAAAATTTCGAAATTGATATATTTTTTACCATTGCATAATGTAACGTGGCATCTCAAGCTGTCAAATCATGATAACATTTGCTTACGAAATTTTGCAACTTAGACTTATGAAATAGTAATCTACAAACACGTAGTTTGCACGAACAAATAACGTTGAATTCTTAGAATTAGACGTTTTATCGCGACGAATTTATTATATGAAAATTGACACAAACGTGTGACTGCGTGTATCATAAGTTGCGTAAGATATTGATGTGGTAATATATAAAAGATATGTCGATGCGCTTGAAAAACAGCGACCTCTGGTGACATCATCGAAGTTCGAGTTTCGCTTTAGGATCCCCTTAATTGCCGTAAAAGGATAGTACCGTATATATAACGCATCATTTCCCGTAACGCTAAAACGCTAAGTGCAAGTAAAATAAAGTTTAGTATTGACTACAATCGCAATTGAAGAATATATGTACGAAACGGACGTATCGCTGTACTTAAATCAATAGAATAATCTGTCTATCTTTCGTTATTGTTACTTAAGGGTTTTAAGAAGAGAGATATCGACTGTTCATTTTTGTTTAGATTTAGCGATTGATACATCACACGAAAGGAATTGTCATTCCTGTATATAGCATTGATTTCATATCTTTGTAAATAACTCTATTTCGGTCTATCTCGATTTCTATATATATATATATATATATATATATATATGTGTATTCTCAGTGACCCCGATAATTAATTTACGAGCCTATTGTTATTTATATCAACATAACTCACTAAGGGCTACTAAAAGAATTGATTTTATCATTTTATATGTAAAAATGAGAATATTGTTAAGTACATTGTTTTTGTCAAGTATTTAGATACACGGCATTCTACGCGCGACAACAAATTATATATTATTATAGGTATATACAGATTGCACGAATGTGACTAGCGTTTTTTACGTAAAGCGAGCAGACATCCATTTAACCCTGTATAACTCAGTGTAATTATTTCGAGTAATAATGATTTTAATTCATTTCAGTAACGCTATTTTACTAGACAAGACAGCAGCGCGTGTGGAAAATGGGAGAAATTATTACAATGAAAAACATTCCTCCGGTTATCAATCCTTCACTTCCACATAGATTGTTTTGGCAGATATTGATCAGCTTATATATATACAGAGTGTCCCGTAAGTTTTGGCCAATCGTGTAAATAGGGTGAACCAAACTGAGTCAAAAAGTCCTTTACTATTTTGCAATTTTCGCAATGGTTAATGAGATAATTACTAAAAATTGCCGAAAATTGATTTTCAATAATTTTTTTCTCAAATGCTATCAACTTTACAGAAAAACTGGAAGATAAAAATTGTTTATTTTCTTCTCATAAAATTCTTAGAATTTTTTCAGAATTTTTTATTAACTTTTTAGTACTGTATTTT